TTAAATTTAAAAAAAGAAAGAAAACTGTGGCCCATGGGCCAAATCCAATCCAGGATCTGTTTTGCAAATAGGGTTTTATTGGCACACAGCTTTGCCCATTCATTTACTTATTGTCTATGGCTGCTTTCACACTACTGTGGCAGTGCTAAGTAGCTGTGACAGAGACTGTACAGGAAGCCTAAAATATTTTCCATCTGCCCCCTTACAAAAAAAAGTTTGTCAACCCCTATTTTATTTCTTTTATAGCACTTAACAGTATCTAAAACTATTTTATTTTTTGCTTAGTCATTTATTGCCTGACTACCCCACTGGAATGCACATTCATGAATAAAAAGACCTTGTTCTTTCCTATACTCTTAGTACCTAAAACAGTGCATGGCACAGAATGCACTTTAAAAAAGTGTTAAATGAATAGAATTTATTGAGAGAAGAAAAAGAAAATGAATATTTCCCATCTTCCCACTCTCTCTTAGATGTACTCCAACTATTCACCCCACTACTCCACCCAAACTGATCTTTCAATTAACCACTGCATTTATCAATGGGATAATTCTCACTCTTCACATGATAATTCTCAGTCCTCACCTTACCTGATCCATGAGCAGCATTTGACCCAGTTGGTCTACATCCTTCTCCTCAAACACTTTTTCTTCATGTGGCTTGCAGAACACCACTCTCTTAGTTTTCCTCCTATTGTACTGGTCCTTCTTTGCCTCCTTTATTGGTGTGATCTTATTTCTCCAACCTCTTAACTGTTAGCCTGTTCCAAGGCTCATTCATTGAGATTTTTCTCGCAGTTCATGCTCACTTCTTTGGTGACCTCATTTAGTCTCATGACTACTCTCAGGCATTTCAAACTTCAGCCCAAAACTAAAGCTAAATTCATCTTCTCCCCCAAACCTACTCCTTCACAGCCTTTGCCATCTCAGTAAATGGGAACACCATTCCTCCAGTTGCTCAAGTCAAAAACTCTTGGGAGTTAACCAACCCCTATCTTATAAATATATTCCAGGTTAATGATCACTTCTCACCACCACCACTGCTATCACCCTGGTTCAAGCCACCACCATCTCCTGCCTTACAATTAATGTGTCCCTTACATCCTACTCTCAGCAGAGCAGTCAAGGTGATCATGTTTAAAATGTAAATCAGCAAGTCCAACAGCCAGCTCTCTTTCCCACTCAGAGTTAAAGTCTCACACAATTTGGTCCTCTGAAACTTATCTGCCTCTTTGTTCCCTCCATTCCAGAAACACAGGCCTCCATGCCCATCTTAATGCAAGTCAAGTGAGCTTCCATCTCAGCACCTTTACACTAACTGGAAGGCTCTTCTGGTTGAACCGAATGAACCCAGTCTCTTCAATTAGGCACTTTAATGAAATACTGTGTCACCTAATTCTCAAAATAACTGTATGAGGGAGGTATCATTTCCCTCACCTTACAGATTAGGAAAGTGAGGTTTACAGGCCACCTAGCTAACAAACCATCGAGTTGGCATTCAACCCAGATTAGTCTACACAGAACATGAGCTAAAAAGAGAGGATTCAGTGATGTTCCTCTGAAGTCACAGTGATCCTAACAGCTACGGGTGCGTTTTGACAGCTAGTGAAGGATATGAGAAGGGGCAGTAGGAGATTAAGAGAAGAACCAGAGAGGAGTTACCCAAGCCGAGTGGAAAGTTTCAAGGAAAAGGAGGGGTGTCAAATGGAACCCAGACATCCAGAAGCCCAAGAACCAAATGCATACCTCACAGTAAATTACACCTGTGGTAGACAGCAACCCTGATCTTGGTTAAAAACACAAAAACTTACCTCCTCCTGCCAGAGTGTGAAGATACGCTGTAGTTAAGCATTTGATTAAGCTTCACACCTACTTTCTCCTCCGACCCAGTGAGGCAAAGTTTGTATGTGCGGTGGGGGTGGGTTGGCCTTAAACTTCAGAAGGCAAAGAAAACAGCAAATTTCTCCTCCCCAGCTCTCCGTGGGCATGTGTGACCATTGCTGTCCATATTACAGACAGTCTGAGGCGACCACAGCTCGAGGAGACAAGTTTCCAGGCGGCCAGGGCCGAGGGCCGAGTGTCGGCCCTCACCGCAAATTGTTTCAGCAACTTTCTGCCAACGGCCCATTCCTCTCTGCCCTACAGCCACGATAGAAGACCCCGACCCACAAGATCTTTCTCTCATAGCCAACCCGCAGCCATATTCAGGGACTGGCCCGAGAGAAACCCCGCGCCCCGCTGCGGCCCCGGCGTGAAGACCCCGCCTTACCACGGCTCCGGCCACGGCGTGGACCAGGCTCTCGTAGGACAGCACAGAAGACATTGGCGCGGTTTCCCGAAGACCTAGCCACACTTTACCCGCAGATGCAGCAGCCGGCGAACTAGGGAAAGCAGCTTCAGAGCCCGGGGCGTGAGAACCGCAAGCTCCACCCTCTCAGGATCGCCCGCCTCCCCCAGAACAACCACTTCCGGGGCGCCCTCTGTTGCCAGTGTGAGCCGCCGCTGGGGCGGGAAAGCAGGCCTGGGAACGCCCCCGGACGCCGATTGGCCCCCGGGCGAGCGCGGGGCCGGACCCGGCTCCTGGGTCTGACCAAGTTCTCTCGCATTTTCAGGACCCCGCCGGTCTCGTCATTTCAGAAATCCTAATGGCCTCCTTTCCTACTGGTGATAGCGAAGGATGGGGGCTCGTGGGACTCCAATCTTCCTGTTCCTCCGCCTTTTCTCTATTTTGAAAGCCATACTTTGGAAACAAGTTCTCCCTTCGGAAAAACCCTGGCGTGTGGTGGGAAGAGATCTCAAACGTCAGATCAAAATGATCAGATGCAAGCGATAGCCTCCTACCAGTTGACAATTTCTGAACGTCACTTAACCTCTTTGGCTTCCTCGTTTGGGAAATGACAGTGTTAACATCAACAACCCGCTTGCTGTGAAGATTACGAAAGCTAATATATGTAGATGCACTTCTTAAAATACTGCAAAAAAAATGTTTGCATGTCACAAAGTGAATGCCCAAACTACATAGAACTAAAAAAACCACATTCAATTTCTAACCTGTGAGACATGCTGTTTCACGACGTTCCTCATGGGCTCCAACTTCACTTTACTGGGACACCATTGTCTCCTGTCTCTACCAAAGGTTCTCAACCACCGTGTTTACTTTCATAATACCCTAGGTGAAAATTATTATTTTTTGGAGACAGGGTCTTGCTCTGTTGCCCAGGCTGGAGTGCAGTGGCATGGTCATAGCTCCATGCAATCTCAAACTCGGGGGCTCAACCGATCCTCTTGCCTCAGCCTCCTGAGTAGCTGGCCTACAGGTACACCACACTCAGCCAATTTATTTTTTGTAGACAAAGGGTCTCACTATGTTGCCAAGCTGGTCTTGAACTCCTGGCCCAATCCTCCTGCTTCCATCTCCCAAAGTACTGGGATCACAAAAGCGTGAGCCACTGCACTTGGCAGCCCAATAATTCTTGAGTATTTCCTACAATGCCAGGCTCAGTGCTTTATGCCCATTATCACATTAACCCCTGGGAGAGAGTCCCTAGCAATGTTTCACCTGGTCATGTTTTCCCAGTATTTGCAGAAGATATTCAACCACCATTGGTTAAGATCTCTTTCCACTTAAACTCTTCTTCATTTAGAGATGTGCCGCAGTGACTACAAGGTAAGTAAAAGGTGAGTTGTGGACACACTAAGTTGGCTTTTTATACGGTTAAATTACTGCTAGAGGTCCTGTTGTATGAATGGCTTCCAGGAATACTCCTGTGACTCCAACTAGTTATGACATGAAAAGCAGAACCAAAAGTCAAATGAAGATGGGATTTTTGGCACTGGAATGCAGAGACAAATTGGTTGCAAAATTTAAGTAAAAGACTCAGTTCCCATTGGCTTTCTACCAACTGGAAGCTCATTGTCAAAAATACACTGTATTATATTTTGTTTTGGGGGGACACATTAGCTATCAAAAAACATTTTGATCAACTAAAGAATGAACTATACTGCAATACAAATCACTGTCATACAAAGCAACTAGAGAATCAGTTATTAAATGGAACCATCTCCGAAGTTCGGAGATTTGATTTTAAAAATTGTAATTTTTTACTTCCTTTTCATTCTCAACAGACCCCCTTTTATGTCTAATTTAGTACTCATAATTACATACTCTTTTCCTTAAAGAGGGTTCTCTGAATTATGTAAGCTTCAAACCCCTTGACACTAAACAGTATTTTAAAAATGTAGGGCCCTTCTGTATACACCCACACTATCAACAAAGAGTTGAAGAAACCTAGCTAGTACTCACCATTTCATGTATGTTGCTTCTTCACTGGACTAACTATGCTCAGGCTACTTACCTGCAACCTGAAATTGTCCTAGTAATCTGGGTGAGTATACTTGATTATGTACCAGATACCTAGATTTTCAGAGCACCATATACATGTTTATATTATATTAATTCTATTTACCTCACTTCTTGTAACTATAATTCTAAAAATTAGGATTTCACCAAATGTCCAAACTTATTGTTCAACTTTATAGAAAACCATGAATTTATACTTCCACCAGCACTATAAAAAAGGTGTCATTGAATAATTGCTGTACTTTTAAAATTTCTGCCAATTTGATAGGCCATACTCAGTTGAAATTTGCTTTATAAAGCTTAACAGTTACTATCCACATATGTTGTCTATTTAGAGTATTTTCCTCCCCAAACTGTATGAGCTCTATTAAGTACACTATACTTGTTGTAAATACTGGCACATATAGAATTTTTAGTATTAGTTTTCCTTAACTTTTTAAATTAGTTTTTTCTTGCCCTTATTTTAGGGGTTGTCATGCACTTCAATTATGCTGTCCCTTACACTGTTAGGAGAAACTTCTGTTGGATGTACAGATCAGCACAAGAAAAGTGTGACATTCCTTAGTTAGCCAATCCCATTCAAATGTACATTTTAGTTTTCAATTCCTTAAACAATTCTGCAAGTATCAACCTTGTACACAGAGGCACAGCAGAGAGTAGAGGTTTAGGAGGAAAACCTCTGAAGTCACAAGCCTGGGTATTCAAAAATCCCAGCTCCACAAATACTGTGTAATCCTGGGCAACAGTTAAGTGCTTCAGTTTCCTCTTCTATAAAATGGTAAAGTGGTGATAAGAGTACCTACCCTTAAGACCATTATAAGAATTGAGCCAATACTTGCAAACTGATTACAACAGTGCCTAGCACAGAGTAAGTACTGCTTACCTGACATAAGTGCCTACTCAGGTGCATTAATTTTAGGTATTAGTAAATATCTAAAATAGAAGTTGTTTCTCCTTTACACTATTATCAAGCCAGTATTTCCTAGTAGGGCAGACCGCTAGCTGTCACCCCAAGTCTTTTCTGTTTCTTCTATCATTTTTTTTGTTAAGCTTATGACCATATAACTATGGATTATCTCCCCTGCAGCTAAATATGGCCTCAACACACATACACAAAATTGATCAATGAAACATGAGCAGAAGTAGTAAGATGTTAATTCCATATACTAGCTTCACTATCTCAGCATGTGTTTCCGAGACCCATTTTCCTTTTTCCTCAGATTCAAAGATGAGCACCAGTGCAAGCACTTTTGGACCCAGAAATAGAAGCTACCTTCTGACAATGGCAGAACTGCTTACTTCTGGACAGCTACCTAAAAGAAATCTATTTTACTTGGGATAATGTATTTTTTTAGGGGTCCTTATTAACAACACTTTAAAATCTGCAGCCTATTAAGCCTAGTAAACAACTTAAGAACCTGTACTGGGGGAAAAAAAAAAAAACGGGGAGTGGGGGATTGCCAATATCCAGTTTGAAACTGTATTTTATTTTTTACATAGCTAGAAATATCCAATAACTACATATTTTAGGCAGAAAAAAGCTCCTGTTCCTTTTCATAACATCATTAGCACAAGAACATTTCTGGTTTAGAAGTAATAATGAGTTTCTATGAAAATTAAGAATGTATTTTGTATTTGTGGAACTTAATAGTCTAAAAGCACAGGACACACTTTCAGAAGAGCAATTTTACTTTTACCCATTTATGGTAATACTTGCAATGTTAGAATATAATTAGGTAAAGTATAGTTGAGTAAATCAAATAAAGAATCCAGAAGAAAACTGTTCTTCTTGGGTTAAACATGACACACATTGGAAATTTTGGGAAAGTAGAACACACAGTAACAAAAATAACATGCAAACTCAAATTCAAGTTTATATGGTGAGTGTTTTCAAAGGATGTAAAGCGTACAGCTTTTTCTCACTTACATAACAGATGAATTCTGTCTGCTTGTGTACAGCAAAGGGTTAGAAACTGAATAAACTTATTTATGATTTCAGAAATATGCTATTTTAGAAATGTACTCCATAGAATTTACTTCATTGCTCCTACCACTGATTCCTCACATAAGCAAAGTACAGGTCTCATTCCTTGAAACTGCTTTTGAACTAGCACTTTAAATGGAAAACTAGGTAGAAACATAGCAATATCAGGAACAAAGCCTATATACTCAGTCTTATTTAAGGTAAGAATTGGATGCATGACAGAAAATTTATCATTTTCTTTATCCTTGGAGTGGTGAGAGGGAAAGCAAGCAGAGGTGGGGTTATGGCTACACTATTTAAGGAAGACCCAAACAGGAAGACAATGAATCTTCACAGTTGCAACTTCACAATATGTAACTGTGGATATCTCATCCATTTTATAATTCATGCTAGATCAAAAAGTCAGGTTCCCTTCTATGTGTATCAGTTTTCAAATCTTATTCTCTTCAAAATACAAAGATGAATACTACAAGATAAACTCTAACTGCAATAGGTATTTCCTAAGTAGACAGTATTTCCAAACACCAAAGGGAATCTCACCCTCTAACGTCTTTTGATATGACAAGATTTTGCCAGAGTGAAAGTCTATCACTTAAATAAGTAATCTCAAGGCCAAGTAAGAAACTACAGTTGTTATGGGTATTACCCTACAGTCACCATATGTATTACATATTAAATTAAACCCAGCATTAAATATGCTTGTACAATTATGCTGTGAATGATAATAGCAGTGAGGATGCTAGTGAAAAAAGACTATCTTTAACCCAAGAAGATTAAGGGGAAAAAAGGGTAACAAGCAGAAAGTGGACATAGAGTTGGGCATTTTTGAACAGGAAAGGTAATTTTAAACATAGAAATATAAAAAGAAAATTACTTCCTTATTTCTGCTCTGTGGAAATAATATGAAACATTTATTTGATATATTGGACAAGAACAGAGCTAAGTAATCCAACTCTACTGCAGCATTACAAAAAAAAAATCATCCCTTCACCACAGTGTAAGATTTAAACGCAACCTGCACAAGGGTCATGTTATATAAAACACAGCACGACTGCTGCTGCCCTGCCAAGTACTTCCAGTCCCTACCCAGGTCCTATTGAAATACTGATGGTCCCAATAGTTTTATCGAAATAAATCATTTTTTTTTAAAAATAAAGCATTTAAAAAAATTAAAATGCCTCAGTAACCATATATCCAACTCAAACTTTATCTATTTAAATGAATTATATTTGCCCCCACCAATAAACCTTTATTTTACTCAAACTAGAGTAATAATCTCCCATATAAGTATTTTCCTTGCCCAATAATTCAAAGGAAAAAATTCAAAATGATTAGTAAGAAAAATGTAGGAATTAACATACCCTTTTAATTAGTTTTAAATATTTTTAGGTTTAAAAAGTGTCTAAAGATTGTAATTTCTAGTTGGAAAACATTATCTGAATGAATACCCTAATGGCAAACCACTGCAAAATGCTTCAGCTGCATTTGGGGCAGAGGGGTAGGGATTATCTTCAAAGCACCCCAGCTCTCTTGATAAGAAGGTCAGAGGTACACTGGTTTGTATTATTGCGACATCCATTAGGTGATATAGGTTGCTTTTCCTTCAGCATGGGCTTTATTTGTTTGTTGGAAGGGCATCACGCTTGACCTCCAAATTTGGCTGACAATTTACTGATGAGATTCATAACCTTTGGGTTGCTCTGGTATTTTGACATATTTGCCGGGTTCTGGGCCACATCCTGGAAGGCCACCATAACTTCTGGATCCTAAAGAGAAAGTTTTTAGTTTCTTCATTAGTGTTTTTAAAAAGTATCTTACTGGGTCAACAAGTTTATTATCCTAAATCCCATCTCTTTATGTAGACCTATAATTTTGTCATGGCCAAAAATATAAATATTATTAATGTGCACCTCAAAGACAAGCTCAATTATGTTGTCTGAATTAGATAACAAAAACAAGACATACAATTTTGATACAAGTAAAAGGACAACTGGATATACTTGCCAACTATTACTGAGTATTACCAACAAACTAATTTTTAAAAACTTAAGGTACTCATTCTGAAAAAAGAAAAATGGCACATCTGCATAATTAGCATTTGGTAACTGAAATAAATAAAAAATGGCTGAGAGTAACCTTTGTCTCCACACAAAATTATGAAAGAAATACCTTAGTGATATAAAGTCCAACTTTGTTTTTCTTCCAGGTCTTACCTGCATGGCTGCAAGAACCTCTGGATCACTAAGAATTTCATTGAGTCCAGGCATTCCTGCCATTCCAGGCATGCCTCCTGCCATTCCAGGCATTCCTCCAGGAAAACTACCAGGCATTCCCCCAGGAAAGCCACCTACGAGAATAAATGAAAGAACTGTATAAACACCCACCACACTCGCAAGTAGGATAATATACTATTTTCTTCTGATTAAAAATAACACACACACAAAAGTGCACATACAAAGAACGAGGGTGCCACTAAGCACAAAGTAGTCTGAATAGCATGAACATTCTAACCTAGATATAATAAGGCACCAATTGTATTGCAGCTTCTAATTTTCTCTTAAAAAATTAAGGCTATAAATCAGACTTTGCTACCTTCTGGATTGACTTTTTCCTAAAAATAAAA